AATATACCTTCAGTACGGCACTTGATATATTACGACAGGTGGAAGGTAGGCTACAAGAGTGTATATGGCTGCAACAGAGAAGCACTTAACAGGGGATGGAGGCTCCAGCCTTCACTACTACGCTGCCCTACACGGTGTAGTTTTACGTTGTGGATCCAATCTTAAACTCGCGTACTGATGAGGCGTCGCAGCCTATTACCAAAAGATTGTATCCTTGGAAGCGTAAATAAATCAGCCCCAGCAAACTTAGCAAACTTATTAATGAAAAATACGACCCTATTAATGAAAGATTGATTTTTTTCCTGAATGAAATAACCGATCTTACTAAGGAAAATCGAAGCCTACTACTGGAAGATCCAGACCTATTTAATGGTTAATATAATCTGTCCACAAAGGATCTGATCTGATAATTTCCTCTCAACTTGGTAAGTTACAAGTTGAGAGGCAGGGTCAGGAGCCGAGACTTGACCCCTGCAACCACAAATAGGAGAGCACACACAAAAAAAGTGTGCAGGCTGGTTATTAATACATTAACGGGAAAGGGAGCGCGGAACACGTAGGGAGTTATACAGTCCTTGGAGAAATGGGTAAGCAGGTCAGTCTAATGAAAGATAAGTTCATTTCCTTGGATCAAGAGCTCACCAGCATGACGGCACCTCTGAGTAGCGTAGGTCAGTTATACCAACGAGACTAATCTACCTCTCAGACGTCTATCATGCAAGTGAGACCAAGAGCTAGAGCTCCCTCCCACTGGCATTCTTAAACAGCCACTTACAAACTGGTGATGACACAATAAGTGACTGACGCATAAGTAGTGGCTGACCCATAAGTATCAGATACATAAATTGCCGATACATAAAACCCAGGGAGACGCACAATACCACACACCTTTTACCTCCCAGAAAGCAACACCTCTGTCTCCATCTCGCTTGGCACACCTCTGCAGAATTTACGCACCATGAAATACCATCTGGTTTATTTTCTCCCTGAATTTTATCCTCGTCGTTGTAAATATCAGACATTCTCACGCTCTAAAGTGCATTTCCCCGGCGGGTGATAACACCTCCAGCCAATATAGCAGCCTGGTGGAGGGTCCTGCTCTCGTAACGCCATGTTTCCTGCCGCCACGCCTATCTTACCCAGTCGCAAACCTTTAAAATGAAAGAATTTTATGTGTGAAAACCTAATTAAGGGTAACTTTGAGACCCCTTTATCAAGGTTTATTAAGGGTAACTTTGAATCCCCTTTCAAAGTTTATTAAAGGTAACAGACCAGTTAGCAAACTTATTATTACTATAATCAAAAAGAAGCGCTAAGCCACAAGGGCTATACAGCTTATCAAACTTAATTAAGGTAAGAATAAAGTTAACAAAGGTCTCAAGTTACCTTTAAATAATGAACTTTAAGTTAAAGGTAACTAGAGACCCTTCTAAAACTTTATACAGTTGACGTAATGTTGGAAATATTCATCACTTGAATATATACTTCCGTTATCTCTCAAAGGGGACCTTGATGATGGTAAAGGGTCCTTGATTCAAGGAAGTGGAGTTAACCTCCCTTTCCTTGGATCAAACCTGACCGCCTTCTATTCCCCCAGGCACTAGCCATGTTTACCTCGTCATATTCCACCACACAGGATGGTTTCATACTAATAAAACTATCAGCCTGAACTGGGACACCTCAGTAAGGCGATGAGGATATCGACAAGTATTCCACTAATATATGGGTTTAGAAGCAACGACAATGTCGTTCCAACAGAGCTGGAGTTACTTGGGCAGCTCTATTCCTCCCCATACACAGGTAAAATGAAATTTGTAAAGCTGTCTTAGAGGGAGACAAAAACAAATATAATTACGTATTAATATGTGTATGCACAGTGATGAATGGTTTTGAAAACCGACAGTATTATGTTAATTCCGAGAAACCTATTGCATATATAACGAAACCAAAAACACTTCACTGTTGCTAAGCAACACCAATTTAGGCAAACCAAGGAAGAGATGGACAGGAGAGGAAAGAGAGAGAAGAGAGAGAGAGAGAGAGAGAGAGAGAGAGAGAGAGAGAGAGAGAGAGAGGAGAGAGTAGAGAGGGAGGAGGATCTAGGGGAGGGAGGGAGGGGATCTAGGGAGGGAGGGATGGGGATCTAGGGGAGGAAGGGAAGGGCAACAGCAGAGGGGTCTTGGACGCCTTCCAGACATTGACGTCATTATTGCTATACCAAGTTCATTAGTCAGGTGTGTGTGTGTGTATCTGTCTGTCTGTCTGTCTGTGTCTGTCTGTCTTTGTGTCTATCTGTCTGTCTATTCGTCCGTGCTTTGACGTGCGAACAATCATTTATGCACAATTTTAGTTGCAAGATAACGACGAATCTCGTGCACGTAGACTAACTCACAATTGTTACATGCTGCTTGGTAAGCACTTGTTTGTTTTTGCTGATACATTTCGTGTGGTTTCTGTACAATCTCCAATAAATAAATAAATATATATATATATATATATATATTATGCAAAACAACCACTGTGAAAGAGTAGTGAAATTCCAAGCGCTTTCGTGACTACTCACATTGACAATGTGAGTAGTCACAAAAGCGCTTGGAATTTCACTACTCTTTCACAGTGGTTGTTTTGCATATTTTAAAATCACCTGTTTACTGTGATCTTATTGCATGCATTATATATATATAATATATATATATATATATATATATATATATATATATATATATATATATATAAAATGTCGTGCCGAATATGTAAAACTGGTCAATTAGCAAGAACTCATTTAAAATTAAGTTCTTTCTGAAATTTCCTCTTATACGTTTAAAGATATATTTTTTTTCATTAATGTTAATGTAAAAAAAAATAATTTTGCACCAAAAGAATCTTAGAAAACTTACCTAACCTTATTATAACAAGAGCAATTTATTTCAGCCTAACCCAACTAAATATATTTTAAATACGTTTACAATAATTTAGTACTAAACAAACACAATCAAATATATTTTTTTCGTTAGGTTCAGAATGATTTTGGCGAAATTATTGCATACACAAATTTTCACTTGTCCTATATGGCAAGATGAGCGTTGCTATTTAAGCCAAGATCGCAAGTTCTGCCTATTCGGCACGACATATATATATATATATATATATATATATATATATATATATATATATATATATATATATATATATATATATATAATGTATGCTATAAGTCACCTCTTTGAGAGAGATTTATTAGTTGCTGACGTGTCTTTTTTGTCCCGTTTCAACTTTGAATCAGTTTTTGTTAGCGCTATTAAAGCCAGCTGGTACACCAATCTGAATAACCCACCTTCTTGACGCAGAATGTGGGTATTAAAAATTCTGAATGCTCGAAAGATAAGATAGTCCTTTCTTGATTCTCAACGAATGGTTTCGAAAGTGTATATAGTTAAGTGAAAGATTTATTTCAGCATAATAGTGTTTGTTGACAGATGGGTGACATGGTACAATGTTTGTACAGAGATGTTTGACATGATACAATGTTTGTACAGAGATGTTTGACATGATACAATGTTTGTACAGAGATGTTTGACATGATACAATGTTTGTACAGAGATGTTTGACATGATACAATGTTTGTACAGAGATGTTTGACATGATACAATGTTTGTACAGATATATTTGACATGATACAGAGATGGGTGACATGATACAATGTACAGAGAATGGGTGACATTTGGTTATGCATGCAAAAAGCCCATGGTTATACAGAGCATTTCGGGCAGGTGGGTTGGTTTTCCTAACACCTTCAAGTGTGTTTGAGGTTTCTTGATTAATACATCCAACAAGGGTAGGCTGTTTCTGCTTCCATTCTGTTTTCAATTTAATGAATGGGGGATATATTAATAACCAAAAGATAAACCCATAGGGGTCATTCAGTTCCTGAATACTCTGAGGTAATCAGGTTGGATAAAAGGAAGGGAAGAACGTGTCTTAATTTCTTAGTTCAAGATCCCTTCACTGGCATCAAGAAACTCTCCTGGAGGCTTTACAGGGGATAATCGGCTCAGTTTTTCTTGTTACTGAAATCATATTTCAAGCCTCATGTTGTGAAAACATCATCAACTTAGTTATACCAGATCATGTTTGGTTTAATTTGGTTTAATTTTTCTGGTGCTGTTTATCCTTGAGGCACTTGCCGTTGAGGAAAGATACATTTCAGTGAAGCTTGCTGGGAGCCAGTAAATTAGGTCAACAAGAGTCAGGAGACAGGGCCAGGAGCTATGAATCGATATATGTGAACGCAAATAAGCAAAAAACAAACTTATGCACTCGCTCGCTCGCCAGCACATGATCGCACTCTGGGAACAAATCCCTCGACGAACTATAAACAGATATTTAGTAGAGCTCAGAGAATCTCCAAGTGAAAATTTTAACTCTTCCTCACAAAGTCAGGGAATGACCGTACTCACTTAAGGTATTTCACGTGAGGGATATTGTTGGTCTGTCTCTGCCTGTGTGTCTGTCTGTCTCCCTCCCCCCTCTCTCTCTGGCCAGAAATACCAATAAATTTCAACAATGTTTGGGTGGTGAGTACACAAGTTGAGCCACACAAACACGTGTATCACAAGGTATTTAGGAGAAAGGAAGAGTGGGGAGAAACTGGGAGAGTAGGGGGAAAAGGGGCTTGAGGCAAAAAACGGGGAGGATTAGAACAAGATTTTGCTTTCGTAGCGGGAGAATCCCCTGATAGGCGAAATGTATTCTCAAAAAAATGTCCCCATACTCGCTTACACGTCTTTCTCACATATTCATTGAGGCTTGACAGCCAATCCTACGTCCATTATGTGTTTAGTAGTACAAGAGCATGTGTATACACACAAGACCTAGCCACTAGGAATTAAAACGATAAACAGTAGTAGATCTTGGTATACGTTTATAATTTACATTTTTATCCTTCACAAGCAAATTCAGAATAATTTCTAGCCAAGAGAGAGTAAGTCAAGCGAGGCGCTATGCCTAGGTATGGTGCCCTCGTCTTCTTCCCCCGCAACACACTGCCTGGCTTAGAACTCCTGGCTACGTTAGCACTAGCCAGGCACGTTACCAATGCAACGCCCCCACACTGCCGTCCCACATCAAGTTTAACAGTACTCCATGCCAGCCCTCAGTGTCAAGTAACGTTTGAAACATAAAACATTCAAACTATCATGAAAACCTTGACTGCCCACTTATTGAGGAATACAGAGATAGTAAAACAACCAGTATATGTCAAGGTATCTTACTAGCCAAAGATAAGAAGCCCCATAATTTGAGCAGGCATCTAAATTTACTTAAAATAAAATAATGTAATATATAACCAGATGTGTTCTTGTTGGTCTTCTTAGAGTCTAGGAACTAGACTTGTTTCTATACATAGTTTAGCGACTGGCTGCTTCGGTGGCAAAAATCCGACATGTCAATGGATAATCAAAATTTACACTGTCATGAATATAAGAAAATCACAGACCGGGTGGAGTTCGAACCCATGGCAGGAGAGTCCTAAACCTTACAGGCTAGTGTTTACAAGTCGTGTTACAACGATTTCGTGAGTCATGAGTTTAAGAGTAAGAAACACGAGGAAATTGTAGTGGACTGGCAGTGACTAGACCTCAGACCCAGGAACGTGTAACTTACTCTCAGACTTGGTGCCCCTCAAGGGAGGTTCCTTGATGCTGGTGAGGGGCTCTTGATCTAGGGAATTGGATCTGTGCTCCAGTTCCCTGAATTGAGCCTGAATGCCTTCCATCTCCCCCCCCCCACATGCGCTGTGTAATCCCCATGATTATAATATAATAATCAGACTTGGTGCGTCATTAACAGGTGTTGTCATTATTACTGCTTCTCTCTCTCTCCTTACAGGTGTCGTGGATTCGGTCACGTGATTTGACAGTATTAGCAGTGGATCAGCTGACAGTCACCACAGACTCCAGGTTCACTGTAAGTAGTGTATGTGTAACACTATATGTGCATACTTATATAAATAAATATATGTATATGGTAACAGTTCTACAATTTACCGATAATATGTATGTAAATAAGGACACTATCCGAGTTATAGCATTTTCTTAAGACATGGTGTGGTTCAGCAGGAACCTCAGAGAATAACACAACATAGTGTAGTGGCTGGTGAAGAGGAGAGACCAGTTGAGGTGAAGCAGCAGGTGACTGAGGTTTCATGTAACGGCCGGCTGGTTAGACGAGTTCAGGTGGTCGCGGTGTCAGGTTCAGGAAGGATAAATCTCGCTAAGACTTCTGAGACTATGAAAGATTCAGATTTTTTCTCAGCAGTGTTTGTCCTGGCTATTATTACTGATTCTATGCATAGTCTACTACGACAGTCTTCTTGATCGCCTCTAGGAAAAATCATAAGGTGATTGTGGGTGTTGCCCAGTAGACTACATGCTTTATTAATGTCGTCCCTACGGCATGCATGTTCCCCGATTCGTGTTTAGGTCCCTGAAAGTTTCTCCTACAGAAACCTCTCACATACGCCATAAACTATGATACTGAACGCCAACGCTACTTTTCATCAGCTTCCCCATGCCATCCTATAACTACTATTGTTCTTTACTGCTTTAATACCGGATTTCCTTCCATAACATTTAGTCGCCTATTATTTGTGTCTTCCATCGTTCTCACAGCTTAAATTCTCAACACCTACCTTGGCACTCTCTCCCTCTGTAATGTAGGGATGGAAGAATTTATCTGTATTATGAAGACGGAGAATAATGTACGTGAAAATGGGTAACGGCAAATAGCCTCTATTAGATAATGTCAAGTGTTCAGAGAAGCCTGGAGATTATTCCCGAGAGCCTCTTGATTATTCCAAAGGGCCTCAGAGATTGTGTCTAAGTGGCCAGAGAGAGCCTTTGAGATATGCACAAACTTAGGCAAGTTCTGCAGCATGATGTGCGTGTATTATGCTTATATTCATACTGCTGAATAATTTAAATTATGCTAAATAATTTGATTACACTAAGCGAGAAGTCTGACATCTTTCAGTGTTAATCTGCGATTGTGAGTCAGATCCTCGAGGGCTTTACACTGTGGGTTTGGCTTCAAAATGAACACTTATCCTATAAAGATAAATATTGCCAAAAAAAAGTCTTTAAACCCTATTTTTTGTTTTGCAATTCATGTCGGCGACTTCAGATTTTACCGATAATTGTCAATTTGCCTATTTTGGTTAACTGGTGGCCGTAGTTGACTCTGGTATGGTTACTGTTGATTGCGTCTTAGAATAATAAGACCCACTTCCTGGTTTGCTCTATTTAATTAGTCATATAATTCAGGCACAAAGCTATTGGTAACTTACCCACACGGTAGTAAATTAGAGGAACCCTCCAGATGTTAATGATTCCTTCCTCTCCAGGTGGTGCACCCTGAGGAGACTGAAGACTGGCTGTTGGAGATACATGGGGTGGTGGACACGGACGAGGGCACGTACGACTGTCAGGTCAACACTCATCCCAAGATCTCCACAAAGTTTCACCTCAAGGTCCTCCCTGACAGAGGTACGGAAAATTTCATGGTCTAACTTAGTTTTTTTCTTCTAGCGGGTATGTCAAGATTTCTCGTCAATAGTCTTGTTAAAAGTACACGGTTTCATTTTAAGGTCGTCCCTAGAGCAATTATGCCATGTTCCATCTCTCAAGGTTGGTCCTTCTTGACACTATCTTTTACCAGAGCTCCAACTCAGTTTCCACTAATGCCAGGAAGAAGACTTTCTGGTGAGTTATTACGCCAGGATAACCCAGGCAGTGGGTCATTTCTGTTGGTATTCTTTGGTTCACACTTATTTGTTGCTAGGTGAATAGAGAGGGCAGGAAATGTAAGTAGACCCCTCTTCCCTTCTTGTATCTTCAAACGTTACTTTAAATTGTTACTATCAGTCAGAAAACAATATGAAATGCATTAGGCCAAACATATGCGACTCCTGCCACTGTATTCCTATCTTTGTAAAATAAAGCTTCCGTCAATAAATTATCAATACGAAAGCTAATGCTCGTTTTATTTTCAGTAATAATTTGCATTACTACCAGAAAGTTACGTTCTGCGCTGACAGGCAAAGATTCTAGTCACGAACAAAGATTATTTAAATGAAAGATGGAAAATAGAGTTGTCCCACTAAAGACCCTCACAGAAGTCACGCCTGCCAGGCAGCAGCTGACAACTTGCACAAAGCGACTCAAGAAATCGTAATGACACGATTGCAAACAAACCATACCCCCGGCCGGGATTGAACCCGCGGTCATAGAATCTCAAAACTCCAGCCCGTCGCGTTAGCCACTATACCTAGTTGGATGAATCTTATTGTGGCTAGCTGGTCTAGTGGCTAACGCGACGGGCTGGAGTTTTGAGACTCTATGACCGCGGGTTCAATCCCGGGCGGGGGTATGGTTTAACTTGCACAAAGTCTGCGAATATAAAAACCCACCAGAGCTAACTGTTAGTTTTATCTTGTCTTAACTAACTGCACTGCTACCCTTCCTCTCCACCAAGCGTTAATATCCACACAGTTTTTCCCCAGTGTTGGTGCTTATAATGAAGTTTGTCAATATGAAACACCCACTCATCAGTGCACGCACATTTGGAGACTATTCAAAGAAATCCTTCAGCAATTCAGAGCAAGCTTATATAAACACGTAAAAACGTAATGAATCGCAATATTTATCTCTAACATTCTACAGTAGTATCTTACCATAGCTTGTTGCTGCTGACACATAGCGCAGCAAACTTACAATATTAATGAATTTTACCTCAAGAACCTCGAATTTGCAGACTTTCATTCAAATGCCACGTGAGAAGGGGCCCGGTAAATGCTCTGGGGTCCCTTCTCATTTGACTCTCGCTCGTCACAGAGCCCAGTCTTTACTACCCCCCACTTATACAGCTACAGCCCATATTTTACTCTAGAACCCAAGTTAACAAGGGTAAAGGCTAGGCAATAACTGGGAAATTTGCTTGAAGGAATTAAGTGAACATCGTAGGGTCAACAAAACAAGTATGTCAAAAGGTTCAAATTTATTCTGTGGTATCTAGAGACACTTGGGTCCAACTTCATTGATTCTATCCCCCGTCAAAAGATTTTTTTTTTTTTTGGTTTGTTTTACTAATTTTTTCTTCTAAGCTAAGGAGGGAAGTGCGTCTGAGTATCTGACTATTGCAAATCATAATTATCGGAGGAAAGCGGTAAACCCGTAGGGCTTATACAGTGCCCGGGGATGGGGAAGCAGATTTGATCCAAAGAAGGCGAGAGTAACCAGCTTAAAGAGGATTATATTTAAAAATATTACACCATGTTCGAGGTTTACACTCCTAGTCATGTGATATTCCCCCCCCCAACACCCACTTTAGGTAGATCACTCCCACAGCACAACCAAGCTCACGCTTGCAATAATGCCTCACTCATGCCAACTCTTATGTTCTGTTTATAAAGAAACGGTAAATTACTGAACATGTCTCAACGTTTTTTGTGAAGGTTAATGTTGATGAGGATCTGTAGTTCAGAGACTCATATCTTTTCATCCCTTATTTTTTCTTCTAAAACTAATCGTATTCTGGAGTAATCGTAATTTTTCTTTGTTATCACATCAACTGTTTCTCTCTGTGGTAGGGTGACTCAAAAAACAAATTCACTATCATTCATTGAAATACTGTAGTTGTCTTGCTAGAAGTGGATATCACAGTTCAAACTATCCTCCGACCTCGAATATCTGCATCAGACCTTCAGTATGTGGGTACTACACTTCCCACCTCCGGAGTCAAGTCCGACTAGCCAGTTTTTCTGAATCCCTTCATAAGAACATAAGACAGATAAAATATTGCAGCAGGCGTACTGGCCCATGCGAGGCAGGTCCAGTTCTCCTACCTAGCCAGGTCAGGTCATATTCACTTAAGGAAGGAGCACGGCATGTGACCTAGTAGCACAAGCTAGTCAGGTTCAACTCACACCCACCCATGTATTTATTTAACCTGTTTTTAAAACTATTATACATAAATGTTACCTTGGTCACACTCTAACAGCATGTCAGTTATCAAAGCATCTTTCATCTGCTTCAATTTCCCATGCTCACACATGCCTGCTTATTCAAAACCTCCTTCAACCAAACCCCCAATCCCTTTTGGAGTCGTCCCTCACACCTCCCTCCATAAGCCTTACAATTACATACCCTCCATCCTTTCTAAATGACCATCTCTACAATCTCGCTTCCATTTTCTGAATTATACTTTTTATGCCACCACACCGTCTTCTGTTTTCTACGTTCATGTGATTACCATTATGTGAAAGAGTGTATGCAATGTTCTGCCATTTATAAATGACTTACAGCTTCCTCGCGGTAACATACAAATACCATAGCTCACACCCATTCAAATAAAATGTCTTGGCACCACTATGGTACATTTCCGCATTTTGCCTACACGGATGAACTTCCTTATACAAACACAACACTTCATCCACTTATTTTCCCCCCTTATCCATTTTAAGTTCAGCCTACACTTTCATACACCCATCTGCCGACACATCTCCAGAATATATAATCTTCAATCATTCCCTCCAGTCTGGTGCTCAAGATTTCATTTCTTTAACTTTTTCTTTCTTTGATAACATTGCTCCCTTTTTTTTATGCTCACGTTCAACTTTTTTTACATAGCCTCCCAAATTCTGCAATCACTTCTGCAACTTATCTTCACGATCTCCCAAAAGCAGCATACCACTAGCAAGAGCAGCTGTGACATTGTACTTTGGCTAATCTCAGATTTAGGCGAGAGGCTCTAAAACCCAAGAACAGAGATCTGTTTCACAAACAAGCGGAACACAGACTGTACAAGCACACAGGCGAGGTACACATCGCAAGAGTACGCTTGAGGGTGCGGAGAAGCGAGCCTGCTGGTTTTATGGAAAATTAAAAGCTACACAATCCGTCAATATTAATGTAGAACAGGAAGAACCTGTCTCTCGTAGTGAAATTTTATCGAACGAGGTCATGAGGTGTACATAAATGAATACTGAGGAAAGTGAGGTAATCAGATTGAGGCAGGTTAAGGTTAGATCCCATTTCCTGGATCAAGAGCCCTTCACCAGCATCAAGAGACATATCCTGGAAGGGGGTTGTCATATTACCAAGGCTCGTGTCTAGAGATTTTTTTTTTTAATAAAATGCTTACCGCCTCTCATTTTCTCTTATCATTATTACTACTATTATTCAGATAATTATCATCATTGCTGTTAATGTTTAGATAACTATTTTTTATGACAAATAACCCTTTTGGGTTTAACGCTTAAATTAATAATTGTCCTTCTTGCAGGGCAAGTGTCTATCCTGGATCTTCCTGTGTCAGATACTGGCGTTATCTCTCAGTCTGAAGGTAAGTAGGTGGCAGAGAGAGGGATAGAGAGGGGAAGAGAGGGAGAGGGAGGGAGAGAGACGGGAAGAGAGACGAGAAGAGAGGGAGGGAGAGAGGGGAACAGAGGGAGAGAGAGAGGGGGGGGGAGGAGAAAAGGCTGTGGGCCCAGACAAGTTGAGTCCAAGATTGCTGAGATGATGTGCAGACCAGCTAGCAGCACCTCAAACTCGCATCTTTCAGCACTGCCTAGTACAGTGTAAATAGCCTTCTCTGTGGAAAGAGGCAAATGTAGTCCCTGTTCACAATAAGAAGAGCAGAGCAGAAATCAGTAACTACAGACTAGTGTCACTCCAGTCAATCGCTGACAAGATCCTCGAGACGATAATCCCAAGACAAATGAGAGTTTTTTGGCTACCACTCACTACTTTGTGACCGTCAATATGACTTCGGGAAAAGTTACTCTGCTGCTGATCTGTTGTTAAACCTCTCCACTAAGTGGCACCAGTCACTGGATGAATCTAAAGTCAGCTGTGTGGTAGCCCTGAACATTGTTGGTGCTTTCGACCGGGTGTGGCACCAGGGCCTCTTAGTAAAACTTCAAGGACTGGGAATTGCAGGCTCTACGCTATGTCTCCTCAGTGATTACCTTCATGGTAGATTTCTAAGGGTAGTTCTCAATGGAACGGAATCAGCAAGACATCCTATTGGGGCAAGTGTTCCATAAGGAAACGTGCTGGGACCATTGTTATGGAATGTCTACCTCCTCTCATCTGCGACTGCTTGACAGAGTAGAGAACAGAACAAAACGTCTCATCTCTCGCCTGGACCCATCCTGGATAGATCTGTCATTTCAGCAGAGCTTTCAACACAGGAGGGATGTGGGTGGCCTTACTGTTATGTACAAGGCCAATATTGTCAAAGTACCACACTTGGATCCACTTCGACGACAGCGTGAAGCAAGCTTCTATACCACAAGACGAGCAGAAAGCAGCAACTTCACTCTGGCTGTACCCTACTCCAGAACATCACTTCATCTGAGATCATTTATCTCAAGGATAACTCGAGTATGGAACACATTCGAACAGCATTATGATGTCAACGAGATAGTTGATCAAATGAAAATGATGGCCCACAGAAGGCTCCAACTTCATCCTGTTCCCTACTTGTATGTTTCATAACAATAAAAAATACTTTCAAATGAGCTGATGTAGGTAACAGCTCTTAGCTTGTCAATAACGTTAGGAATCTTTAACTTGTAAATAGCTTGTCAATAAAGCTAGAGATCCTTAACCTAACCTTGTCAAACCCTGTGTAAAGAGAGAGAGGAAGGGGGTATTACTGTTATAGTATCACCCCTACCACCATCACAACTTGCACCACCCTTCCCACCACAACACTTGTACCACCCTTCCCACCACAACTTGCATCACCCCTCCTGCTACACTACAACAACTCGCACCACCCCTCCCACCACAACAACTTGCACTACCCCTCCCAACAAAAACTTGTACTACCCCTCCCACCACAACAACCTGCACTACCTCTCCCACCACAACAACCTGCACTACCTCTCCCACAACAACTTGCACCACACCTCCCACTACAACTTGCGCCACCCCTCCCACTACAACAAACTGGACCACCCTAGCACCACAACAACTTGTACCACTATCACGATCATCACCATCATCACTGTCATCTCACCAGCAGTGGGCGCCCCGGAAGACGACTCAGCGCTGCGGGTACGGGTGCTGGGACAGCGGTGGGTGCGGCTACCTACAGGAGGAACGCTACAGCTGGTGTGTGAGGTATCAGGGAAGGCACTAACGGAGCTACACGAGTACTCTCTCCTCTACAGTGATCCTCTCATTTCGTGGACCCTCGACGCTATCCCAGTCACTTCACTCTGGCCCCATACTAAGGTACCGCCACTTTACATTAAAGAAAAAACGATAAACCAGACCCGTACGGGTTGAAATACTGTCTGCTTGCGTTTGGGAGGACGGAGGATCGAGCCTTCAAGACAAGGAAGGCGCACCTCTAAATATTACTGATACACAGTGGTCATACAACGCCTGGGAAATAAGAGCCAATCACATTCCATCTAAAGGGAAGGTAGCTCCATTTCTTTGGATCGAGAGTCTTTAACCATCATGGTCACTGACTTTTTCATTGTTCTGAAGCCTCGTCTTTTTCAAAGGGACATTAGAACTCATCTGTCAACCATGTAGATGTGATACTCGCCCTCATGTTTAACTTCCTCATCTGGTTTATTCGTCTTGACAGTACTTAGCTTGCCTTGAAATGGAGAAAATCACAATACCATGGCTGGAGCAATTCACCATTAACCCACAATAAAGTGGTTGTAACAATTAACCCACAGAACTGTGACGAACAATTCATAACCTACAGTATCATGGCTAAAGCAATTCACAACTAACCCACAATACTCTGGAACAATTCATAACCCAAATACTGTGACTGGAATTGACACTTCACAAGTCAATGTCGGGGACAATTCAAAATCCACAATTCAGTGGCTACAACAATTTATAACTAATCCACAGCCTCGAAATGAAAATGTTATGACTTTTCGGTCTCTTGGGGCCATGATGTACCTGACTACTTGGCAATGGTCTTGTTACAATTTCTAGACTGTGAATTAGTCATGAAACAATGTTACTTATTTGGTGGGTTAATCTTGAGTAGGATTCCACTTGACCTGTGTTAACCTTACAACTATTGTGTTGACATATTTTAAACCATCTACCTGACCCCTATTGACCCGAAATGCTCTGCATGCCTATGGTCTTTCTACATGCACAACTAATTTCCACTCATCTCTGTACAAACGTTATATTATGCTGAAATGAAATTTGTTCTTATATTAAACTTTCTGCTACTTGACCTGAGATTTGACGTGTAGGTTGTGGTTCGGGAGTCGTGGGGAGGCGATGTAGTGGAGTCTCAGCTGGAGGTGAAGACGCTGCATCCTTCTGATGGAGGAACCTATGCGTGTCTTGTGCCCCACGCTCAGCCAGACCGCGTCACACTCACTGTCACACGTGAGTACCACAGCGTTCACGTGAAAAAAGTACTGCTCACGTAGCTTTAAGAGTTGTACAAATGAAGGTAAGATACCGTCATACACGCCTGGGGCCCCCACACAGTTATATGGAGAGAGGAAAGTTTTACATTTCACAGTGCTTACTGAGCTTATCACCAGAATAGACAATATACAAAAACATGATTACAAGCACGCATGCTTCAGGTTTAAAAATGAGACATATTAACAAACACGTAAATCTACAAAAAAAAAGTTAAAATATCCCGTGTCAATTTAAATTGACATTAAATGGCTAAGAAAATATATCACTTACAATTTGCCAGAGGTCCCAACATGTATCCCGGCTTGTTTGAGAAACGGAATGAGGATGTAAGACATGCATGCAGAACGCAATGAAGATATAAGATAGGCATGTAGAACATATGCCTAGTTTGTTAAAAGAGTTTTACACATGTCTGATTACGTCGGGTTCACCAGTGAGGTCACATGAGTTTACTGGGAGAGATGGCGAGGTGGTTGTATTCACACTGGTTAAGGGGTTGTGTGTCACAAGCATGTTGATGAGTGGAGATGACAGTGATGCTCTTAACCTCTGAGAGATGTATCAAAACAAGATTACAAAGGTCGGCTATGTTTAACTTATGTTCATACTGCGTATCTGAGGTTGCTAAAGATTAATTGTTTTTTCCGTGCCGCTTTTGTAAGTGTGGATGCTTATATCTCGGGGCGTTTAATGGAAAACCACCTTCGCAGATCACATTTTAAAACAAATTTATTACTTGCAGAATCTGTAGAGACTACGTCGAAGTTGGCGTCATCAGACCAGGGCGGGAAATCAAGATACGGAAAGGCCCCAGGAGCAGAGCAGAGTACAGCAGCAGGCGCAGCAGGGAGGGCGGCGTGGATCAGCGGGGCCATCATCCTCCTCCTCTTGCTGGTCCAGGCGGCCCTCTGTATCTTCTACATCAAGAAAGTCTGAGAATTTGGTCTCTCGAGTGTGTGTATGGTAATGCCAAAGGAATACAGAGACGTTTATTTTTTAATCCGTGGTGGAGGCTTCCCTTGAAGTGGTGCGAGCTTCCTGAGGAGATTAATCACGTGCAATTCATATTTCACTTTATGAGAGTTTCAGGGACATTTAGTTTTTTACTTTACAGCAAATTATAAGAACTTCCGACTGTAATCTTAGTGTCCATTAATGGATAATGATTTGGGCCTCAGGAAATGTTTACAGCTTTGTGTTGGGTTGTTCTTTAGGATAACTTAATGTATTGCCTGTGTAGCCAGCTGGTCATGATTCTCAAGCTACCTGTCCCCAACCTGTACTGTACGGGGGACTATATGGTTTCTGTAACCTTAGTCACCTCTACTCCAGTTGAAATTAGGTTATGAAATATATTATTGATGTTTTCTTCTACTTAATATTAAAAAATCATGCAGATAATACCAGCATGGAAGCGACAGCCGAAGCTATATACACAAAATATATACGTATACACCAGTGTATGTGTGTGTGTGCAATGATAATTATGCAGCACAAGACGTTATTTGAACAATGTTTTGCTCTGAGTATAGCTTTTTCAAGTGTACTTACGAGCAAAACATTGCCCAAAGACTCTGCAAGCTTTTGAATCCAAATCACAGAACGGGTGGGGCTCCAACTCATGGCACGAGTGCCGTAACACTGCTAGGCCAGTGTGCTAACCACACAGGTGTTGGCGCTACTTGTGTGTATCAAACACAGGTTGACGTTGCGCTCTTCAACAACTGCATAGTTGTAAACAACCCGCCTTGTACGATTTTATCTCAGGAAAGACATTTTGAAGTTTGTAATTTGCAAGTTCCTGATGTTCAAATTTTTTCATAACATGATAAATTAGACACATGTTTAACACTTAGGTATCTTTATTGTGGAAACGTTTCGCCACACAGTGACTTCATCAAAAAAAGAATGGTTGAAGATCAGGAATTTGAGGTAATCAGTCACCCAGCCTGGAATCGATTTAATCAGTACCTCAGTTTTGATAAAGCTGCTGGACTAATTACACCAATTTTGATAACACTGATGGACTGATTACATCGACTTAAGTTAAGGGACTGACTACCTCAAACTCCTTCTGATCTTCAATCATTCTTGTCTGTATTGGACTGATGAAGTCAGTGTGGCGAAACGTTTCCACAAATATACACAAGTGCTACACATGTGTAATTCATCAACTTGTCGGTTCTTTGAACTATTTATCTACATTTCATAACATTCATCGCCTCACCATACGCTTATTCCTCTGCAATATATTAAAAAAAAGGCATTAGACCCATTTTGGTCATTCAGCGCCGACCTTTTCAGTATATTTTTTTAATAAATCATCTCAGTTTTGTTTCTTTCACGACCCATTCCTGTTTTAACACCCACAGTTCAAACTACAGATCAGAAGTCATTTTATATCAATATTATACTTTAAATGTATTGTATATTATATGTTTGGGATAATATATTAGTTTGTATATTTAGAATTATCTTAATACCTGGTCATCTGTACTGCGTACTCCGGAAAGAGTAACGTGTAGTATTGTTGGTACATTATTATATTCAAGATTAAGACGTATACCCCTAATGGTCATACAGCGCTTGGGAAATGGAAGGTAATCAGTTTTGATCCGAGGAAGGGAAGGGTAGCTCCATTTGATTATATCAAAGAGGTTTACACAAAGGCAACCCCTACATGAAGGGTTTCTGTATTATATTAACCCCACGTAGCCTAGCCACATGAATAAAACTTTCATCAAGCTTTTACTGGGATGATGTTTCGCTGTGTCGAGCTTTATCAAGAGTAAACGGTTTTTCCAATTAAAGCTTGTAAACGTTATGTCTGTTATTCACTATCAGAGTTTGGTACCCATCCCCCCACTACTAAACTTAGGTCTTGCCAAGCGAGACATTTATTACGACTCTCCAGGAACGTTATCCCGCCAACACAAACAGATCAAGGACACAAAGGGTATACAAAGTGAACGTAGGAAACTTTGGAAGAACAAAAGCGCTGCTGTAGGACTACTGGACCTTGCTAGTAGAAGTGACTCATGAAGGCAAGTTTATTGCTCTAAGAATGATTCTTGCTTATACGTCGGTGATGATCAAGCTGCCGTTTTCTTGCATAATTAGTATTTCAAATGAAACATTGATGTTTCAGGGTATTCGAGTGTTGTGTAAAAGGTATCAGAGTAATGTGGTTTAAGACGAGTTCAAGGCAGGAGCGGATCTACTATGAAACTAATGAAGCTTAAGCTTGAGGGCCCCTAATACCGGAGGGCCCCCAGAAGCCACTATAGTCCACATTGCTTAATTTTTTTTGGGTCTACTGTATGAGAAGGGTTTTCTAAAAAAAAATATTAATAATATAGTGTAAACAGAAGTTAAAAAATAAAAGGTTATGAAAGTAGGCCAATCGTTGCTGTTTGCGAAGGGGCCCCCATGAAAGTTCAAGCTTCAGGGCCCCAAAAATGTAGGTCCGCCACTGGCTCTAGGTACGATGTTCTAATGTTCTTTCACGAGTTATAAAGATACCAACTGATTTCTTAATATACAACTGTAACACTTTTGAATATTTGGGGTCGCGAGTAAAGTCTGAGCAAGAATCAAAATATTCTTGTTCGGAGCAGACAAGACATCTTTTTGTTTGTGTTGTAGCATTGTATCAATATTTATGGTGTTCAGTGGTATTAAAACCCACGTCATGAGGCATCACTCGGTGATGCAGTAGGGAATCGGTTCAGTTGAAACACTGATTTCGGCTTAAGGTACAAAGTTATGATGTTCCTATTTTGTTTTATGCAATACGGAAGGAAATGTTGTTCCCTTGAAAGTTAGCCTATATAATTTGTCAATGGAGCGAGCGAGGTAGACGTCGGCACAGATTCCGAGTTATTCTTCGGGTAGATTTAAAGCATTTTTCCCATGAAATTTTAGAGAAATGAAAGAAATTTTGAGATATATTTTGAACGTTCAGATTTATTTTTATTATATTCCTGGGGAAGCGCTAAATGTATAAGGGTCACAGAGCGGCTGATTGTTTGGATATTGACATTTTGGAACAGAGAAAAGTCGGGTAAGCATTCAACACGGAAAAATAAGGAACATATAAAATTGAAGCTTGAGTAAATTTTCAGTATTCAAGAAAATAAACTTGTTTAATGCAAATTTTCCCGTCACCGAGAAGAAAGAACCAAAAGGTCCTAAATTATCCTCAACAGCAAAGTATTTAATATACAAAATATTAGATTTCAGCTGAATTTTCCACCTTAAAATGCAATTTAGAGTTTTGATTTAAAATAATTTAAAAGAGGGCGACCCAAGAATGCAATGAGTAATAAAGTCGATAAAGATGAAAATAGGAGGAGGAGGATATAAAGAAGGAATAAGTAATGAAGAGCAATTTGAGTGGGTGAGAGGCTCTTGATCCAAGGACATGGGCCTATCCTTCTTTTCCTCGAATCGAAACTGATTCTCCCTAATTATCTATGTGATGCTGGACCCTTACAAGTTTAGCGCTTCCCACTTTGATGATCTGTTGGGGTAGTTTATTTTTTTTATTACCCAGAGGGTTACTAACCCAGGGTAACCCAAGAGTAATATACCCAGAGGGTTACTAACCCAGGGTAACCCAAGAGTAATATACCCAGAGGGTTACTAACCCAGGGTAACCCAAGAGTAATATACCAGAGGGTTACTAACCCAGGGTAACCCAAGAGTAATATACCCAGAGGGTTACTAACCCAGGGTAACCCAAGAGTAATATACCCAGAGGGTTACTAACCCATGGTAATCCAAGAATATCCTCACCAGGGTAACCAGGGTTACCCTGGTTAATCCAGGGTAACCCAAGATTAATCACAGAGGATTAATAACCCAGGGTAACCCAAGAATATCCACAGAGGGTTAACCCAAGACATCAAAACACTGTCTTTATTTCCGAGCATTTAAATGAGGGTAATGATTCAGAAAAAGTCCAGCGTCCGTGTCAACACCACCACCCATGTTTTATGGGTGCGTCGCGTACGTGTCCTGTCATGTATCTGGTGCCAGGTACGGGTCATGTGTATCTTCTGTTACGTAGGTACGCATGTATTTTGTCACGTATATGTCATATACCTGGTGTCATGTGCCTTGTCACGCACGTGTCATAGTATGTATCATGGGCCATGTATAATTCTGAATTGAGTCTGTAATGGCGTAGGGATACCCTGGAAGCTTCGCCCTTACAAGAGGTGGCGTAGAGAGACCCTGGACGCTCCGCCTTTACAAGAGGTGGCGTAGGGAGACCCTGGACGCTCCGCCCTTACAAGGGTTCCAATAGTCATAATTAATAAAAGTACCATAAATATTTTTTTTTAATTTCATTACCCTTTACCGTCTTTTTCCACGCATGTTTAATATAGACAATTTTAAAAGATCACCGCGAGGTGTATGTCTCGACGTATATATACAGAGTGTTTTAATTCCTAATTTAGTGGTTCAAGTGTATGTGACTGCCGGCAAACAGGTGACATTCAGTGTTAAAGACCCTCTTGTAGTCGGCAGGTTTCAAACTCAATCCAAAAATAGTTTGCACAGCATAATTTGCCAATAAAAATTTATATCCCATTAGTTCCAGTATTATTACACTCACGGAGAAATGATAAACCCGTAAGGGTTATATAACACCTGGGGGGGGATGGGATGGGAGGCATTCAGGTTCTTCCAGGGAAGGGAGGGTAGGTCCAATTCCTTGGAATAAGAGCCCCTCACCGGCACCCAGGAACCTCCCTTGAGGGGTATCAGTTTCAATGCGTCGTGTGTCGGGTAAGAATAACCCATCCAACCTCACCGGTGTATGCACTCTCCATTTTACAACTGCAGAAACCAACAAGGCGACTTCAAAGGTAGAATTTTTTTTCTTATCAGGGACTGTTGTTCAAATTGTTGCTACACAGTAACATACAAGACACACCAGATATAGCTGGCTGGTTAACAGCGCTTTAAAGGCTATCAACCACACCAGGGTCATTACACCACAAGAAGACTAATCCCAAATATAGGGATTAACCTCAGCATATATACTCCGAAATATTTTGAGAGTAGGTTATTCCACTGAAGATTATTATTATTATAATCAAGGGGGAAGCGCTAAACCCGGAGGATTATACAGCGCCTGGGGGGGGGGATGTGGAAGGCATTCAGGCTTAATTCGTGGAACTGGAGCACAGATCCAATTCCCTAAATCAAGAGCCCCTCACCAACATCAAGGAACCTTCCTTGAGGGGATTCCACTGCAGAAAAACTCCTGAAAGGGACGTGGATCAGACATTTCAGTCATACTCTGCCTTTAAACTTGGGTTACTGGATGAAACATACTCAGGAAAGAAGAGTATACAAATTTTCTTTAAAATGAACTACCCATACTAATAGTAAGTTAGCCAACTAGCAGCACTGATCACGCTGTTAATTACATACATAACTGAATAAAGCAAGCTACCAATGCTTGCTGAGACTTATCTTCCACAATCATAAGGCAATATAAGCCAACAAGGGGAAATAAAATATCAAAAAAGTTGCAGAAGACGTGTAAGCAAATCTTCCACCCACACTAATCCTACAGACTCTCAGAAGAATTCCATTTGTACACTTTTAATCATATCACGGTGCTACGTGGCCTGGTAGGCAACTCTCTCGCTCTCTCACAGTGTCCGTGGTTTAATCCCTCGGCCAGGTGGATATGATGGGTGTGTTTCCTTCACGCGCTGTTCTCGTTCACCTAGCAAGTTAGTCGACTGGTGTCGGTCGCATCCTAGGGAACAAGACCGAAGGAAACCCAATGGAAATAGGACAATCCTGGATGACGCACTGACTTTCTTGGGTTATTCTAGGATTTAAAATTAGAACAATCTTATATGCAAATTCTACGCCTGTCCCGATGTTGTTCAGTGTGTTTAGCCTGTCTTCGTAGAAGATATTTCTGATGAAGCTTCTCATGTATCAGAATTCTCTCACATGAAGATAAGCTAAAAGGCTTTGCATATCCACATCCTGGAAAGTCATAGAATTAGGGTCTAGACTCTATTGGCTAACGCAGGCTGGAGTTTGAGACTATGACCGCGGGTTCAATCCCGGCCGGAGGTATGGTTTAATTAGGGAAGGTATGACTGAAATGTCCAAGAGATTTTGTTCAGATTTTTAACCCGGAGGGTTAGCTACCAGGATAACCCAAGAAAGTCAGTGTGTCCTCGAGGACTATTATTTCCACTGAGGTCCTTTAATCTTGTTGCCCAGGATGCAACAAATACCAGTTGGCTAACATCCCGGTACCTACTTACTAGGTGAACAGGGACAGCAGGTGTAAACACCCAATGTTTCCACCCGGCAAGGGATCGAACCACGCACACTCAGTGTATGAGGCCAGAGCGTTGCCTACCAGGCCACTGCAAATGGAAAAACCAGAATTCAGAAAGAAAAAAAAATAACGTACTGAAAATATCTAACCAAGACAGGATTCGCAGCAATGGATTTAAGTTGGGGAAATTTAGATTTGGAAAGGATGTAGGGAAGTAATGGTTTAGCTACAGAGTTGTAGATAAGTGGAACAAACTCCCGAAAATCAGCGTCACTGAAGCGATAACTTAGGGTAGGGTTGCTGCAGTGCTGCTCTGTTCTCATGTTCTTATGAGAAGTAATAAATAATCTACACCAACAAAGGAAAACCAGATCGTCTTGTATATGTCCAATCGTAAGTTGTACAATAACATTTTGCCCGTCAGAAAGATCACTGTATAATTAGTGAAGTTAATTAACCAGTGGCCTGGTGGCTAAAGGTCTCGCTTCACACTTCGAGAGGTCTGGGTTAGAAACATTGGGTGTGTTTCTTTACACCGGCTATCTGTTCTCCATCAGTAAAATGGGTATCGGTGTTAATCGACTGGTATGGGTCGCATCCTGGGACAAAACTGACCTAATTTGCCAGAAATACTCAGCATAACAAGGGGCTTACTATATAGTATTATTATTATAATAAAAAAGAAGCGCTAAGCCACAAGGGCTATACAGCGTTACTATATAGCAGTATGTCATTAATGTCAGCCAGGACTGTATACTTTGTACATATACTTGTAGAAATAAATATATTAAGTATTCAAACGGCCTCGAAGTCGTTTTACCTGTTTCCCCGAGGCTATGGCCTCCCAAAGTTTGCATTAGAAGTGGACTATATGAAAATTAAAATTAGCAATGAGTAACACATGAAACAGTAACCAAGAGAAAATTGTGAACGAGTGAGGAGTGTTAACGAGCAGAGGTGATAAGACGTGTTCGGATTTTTAACCTGGAGGGTTAGCCACCCAGGATAACCCAAGAAAGTGTGTCAGAGGAGTCTGTCCTATTTCCATTAGGGTCCTTCAATTTTGTCCCCCAGGATGCGACCCACACCAGTCGGCTGGCACCAAGGTACCTACTTTAGATGAACAGTGACAGCAGGTGTAAGGAAACCATCCTCAACGTTTCCACCCGGCCGGGGACTGAACCACGGACACTCAGTGTGTGAGGCGACAGCACTGACTTCCAAATACAACTGCACCCCAGTCAGGTTTACAGTATGTTACACAAGACAAGATTGCTGTAATGCTGGCATCAGTATGCAAAATATAATTAATAAAACATCTTATCTTTAGAGAATTACAAAAAAAATATTTACTGGTGTTAAAGAATTTTCTTGGCGACTTAAATTTCAGTTCAAGTCATTCTAACCAGTATTATTATAATAAATAAACCCATAAGGATCCTACTACAACCAGTATTAACAAAAACATTTTAACAAACTGAACAGTTTGATACAAGGAAACGTGTCTGGATTTTTATACTATCTTATTTCCTATCGTTCTTTTAGATACATGTTAATTTAATTGTAACAAAAACGCACCAATAAATGCACGAAGGAGGGACTGTTAAAGCATGGACAGAAAACGGGAACTTAGTGGTTAATAAACATTACATTTTAGTGTCAGTTTTACCGACCGTCTAGAATACGAGTGAAAAACAAGAGTTGATTTATGTACATGAAACAAAAGAAAAAGTTAGTATAATATCCCTCAGATGGTTCCCCCAGATGGTTCCTGAACTGTGAAACAGAAGTTACAAAGAGTGTACTACATACAGCTTATTACATAGAAGAAATTATCTTTAAATAAAATATTACAAAACAAGACAGTACACAGGCTGGAAAAAAAAATAAAACAAATATGCGGTAAACACTAAAATGTAAAAAAACAAACCGAAGAATGGAAAAGGAAGCAAACTTCACACATTTATAAGATACAATATAACTGAAGATCATATCAGCCAACAGAAACTTAAAACCCACAAGGGCAAAGTTATCTCTTCTAGATAATTTGAAACAAAAACAAGACACACGTAGATATACACACCGCAGTGTGCGCGTGCGTAACTAGTTACAGGGGCTATAGAGGTTAAGACAATTATGACTGTATAAACACAGTTTAGTCACGGCTCATAACCTGAGTAAATCAGCCTTGCTGTATTCACCACTGGATGTGGGTCTGGAAGTTGCAGTTAACGTCACTGATTATTTCAAGATATGACTACCCCCGGAGATCAGATACTTCTGGTCCTGATCGCCTAGAATCTCACCTCATGTCATCTCATCTCACATTCTTCATGACATATGCAAAGGAATACAAGTTTTAAGGATTCATATGGGTAGAACTGAGATAGGGGGGTTATGTATGTTACGATGCAAAATGAACCAATCACCGTAATCTCAGCAAGGTATCCAAAACGTGATAGATGGCTGTTCATCCTCGGCAAATAACGCTACATGGTATCCTACACAGCACTGCGTACGAGGGCAGCTATTCTAAGCTCGGGATCCCTGGGCCTAGGAGATATACGAGACCTTATTTGGGGGTAAATGAAGTACTTTTCCAGGCACACACGACTTACTATGAGCTGCCACAAACTGTTAGGATTAAAAATGGAACCTCAGTGTTAATGTGATATCTTTACTGTGCAATACCCATTATGAAGGAAGTAGCCAAAAGACTGGAGAGGCAAAATGTGTTCAAGACTTGGCTCCACCAACATTTGTGCTTGTTAGATAAGATAAGATTTCGTTCGGATTTTTAACCCCGGAGGGTTAGCCACCCAGGATAACCCAAGTCAGTGCGTCATCGAGGACTGTAACTTATTTCCATTGGGGTCCTTAATCTTGTCCCCCAGGATGCGATCCACACCAGTCGACTAACACCCAGGTACCTATTTGCTGCTAGGTGAACAGGACAACAGGTGTAAGGAAACGTGTCGAATGTTTCCACCCGCCGGGAATCGAACCCGGGCCCTCCGTGTGTGAAGCGGGAGCTTTAGCCACCAAAAAACATCACAATGTTATGAATTATTTACCATAGACAAAGTCAGGATATTTTTTCTAGAATGGTTGGTAATAATTATAAAATACTAACATTACAGAGCTAGTCTGAATTTATGATTTTTCTCGCATTCCATCACAATGATGCAGGGAGTGACAACAGTGCTTCTGGGAAATTTT